TTTTTTTTAAGCCTAGCCTGGTGCTTGAGCAGTGGGTGGTGGGGTGTAGTTGGCAGGAAAGCTGGAAGGGTCATGGTGAGAGCGCTTTGTGGTAACTGCTGTCACAGAGGCGCCATCAAACAGAAGCCTGATGAGATAACAGTTGGGAGAAATTACTTCTCACTGAGGGAAGACTTGGGAAGAGGCAGCATTTGGACGGCATTTGAGCAGAACTTTGCAGGGTCGGCTTGGGGCAAAGATTCCAAGTCATTCTAGGAAGAAACAGCACCAGCCATGAAATGAGGCCAGGAAGGGCCCAGGTTTAGTGGGATTCTGCCTGGCTAGGTAAGAAGGGAAACAGAAACGGTGGTAGCAATACTGGCCAGCCAAGCTCGCCCTCCATTTCTCACACTCTCCCTGTGAGGCAGTCGCTCGTTTGCGTTGAAGTCTGAGGTTCAGAGGGCCCAGGTCATACGGCTACAAAGGGTCTAACTGGGTTTTTTGTTTTGTTTTGTTTTGTTTTTCGAATTATTTATTTTGAAATTTATTTATTCATTTATTTATTTTAATTTGACCAAAGAAAGACACACAGAGAGAGGGAGAGAAAGTGAGAAAGCAAGCCACCAGACCCAGGACTCAAACCATGGTTGGCCATGTGGGAGTGTCCAGCACCTTAACCACCACGCCACCAGCTGTACATTACCTCCCCGTCAGGGAATCGAACCCTGGTCTCCCACATTACAGGTGGGGATACTCATCACTATACTAACGAGGACAGGCACTCCAACTGGGTTTTAATTCAGGTCTGGATTTTTTTTTAGAATTATTTTTATTTAACTTTTTCTTTCTCTCTCTCTCTCTCTCTCTTTCTCTCTCTCTCTCTTCATTTGACCAGAGAAGGACAGAGTGAGCGAGAGTGAGAAGGAAAGTGAGAAAGCAAGTTGCCAGATCTGGGACTCGAACCACAGTTGGCCATGTGGGAGTCCAGCACCTTTAACCACCGCGCCACTTGCCAGCCCTAGCTCAGGGCTGTTTTAAAGAAGATGCACAAGGTGTGCGTACGTACGCAGAATCCTGAGGGGAGAATGGAGGAGAAGGGATTTCTGTGTGCCCATCTCCCCTGGGGGATGATTTCTTACTTTTTTTTTCTCTTTCTCTGTCTCTGTCTCTGTCCAGTCAGCACACGTACCCTATAACACAATTTTAAATTAATTAATTAATTTTTAAAATATTTACAATAACTCTATTGATTTTATTATTACTTTTTAAAATTTTGCTATAGGCCATGTGTCCCCACTTCTGGCTGTGCGGCCTTCAGCAGTGGCTATACCGCTGGCCCTTGGTTTCCTCATGCATAACCCGGAGATGACAATCTTTCCTACCTCCTAGGCCCCTCGCGAGACCAGATGACACCAGCCTACCAAGGCCTTCCTTTAAAGTCAACTCTCCCACCAGTGGCAGCCAATATTATGGGAAACAAAGGGAGGAGGGGCCAGACCCTGCAGAGTCACCGCTGATGGGAGAGAGAGAGAGACATTTGACTGACAGGATGCCGGGGCGACAGCACACAGAGTGGGGTTGTGAGACGTGCCTGAACGAGGTTGTAGTTCTAGAGGTGCCGAAGCTCTGGCCCGGGGACATGGGGGCTTCTGTGTGGCAACAGGGACAGACTGGGGTGCTGGGCGTGGGGGGTGAGGCGAGAAGGTACAAAATGAAGTTCTGGTCCCGGGGGACTGAGGAGATGGGGATGCCGTCAGCAGAGATGGGTCACGTGGGAGAAAGAGAAGCTGAGGCGAAGGTGATACTTAGGAGACAAAGGACTCCCAGAGCTCGGGGAGCAGGTGGCGTGGTGGTTAAGGCACTGAACTCCCACATCACCAACCACAGTTCAAGCCCCAGACTGCCAGGTACGGGTGCACGTGTGTTCAAAATCCTGAGAGGAGAATGGAGAAGGGATTGCCACTTAGCCATACCCCCTGGGGGGTGATTTCTCACTTTCCCTCTCTCTGTCTCTCCAAGGATTGCATGCACCCTATGGCAACCCCCCCAAAAAAAAAAAATGAAGAAGAAGAAGAAGAAAGAAAAGAAAAAGAGTCTCTGAGAGGGATTAAAGTGCGGGGCATGTCCATGGAGTCTTGGTATGTGGCCACTTCTTGTCTTTAAATGACCTCAGAAACGTTATCTTTTCATGTCCCTTGAAAGACTCCTGCAGCGGAGTACCTCTAGCTGACATCTCTGCGTCAGAAGCCCTCTTCCAGCTCACACTGCCCTCTGTTGGATCCCTCGACCACAAGGCCTGATCTTCAGCTCCTGAGGACAAGGACAGAGGGGAATCCAACATCTGTGAGTCTCCCACATTGTTCTCGTTTCAAAGATGGGAAAGCCGAGGCACAGACAGGCCACGCGCCAGGCCCTGAACCACAAGGTCAGAGCAGGAGGAAGACCAGAGCCCAAGTCAGCTGCGTCCAAAGCCCCTGCGTCTCTCACTGCACCCAGCTGTCCCTGCAGAGGATAAGGGTGATTGGACAGGGGACTTCAGACAGTCTTAAGGTGAGAGGTTCCAATCTGTCATGCATGTAATTTCTCAACGCCCTCACCCCGACTCGGAGGGCACCATACTGAGCGAAGTAAATGGCCACAGGGTTTCTCCCAGGTCCGTAAAGAAGCTCGACAGTCAGAGCCTTGTGCTAGGCCTGCCTTCACATCGTGTCCTCGGGAGAGTTCTTCTCCCTTCAGTCTCTTGACCTACAGAAGCAGGGGGTTCAACAGCAAACTTTGCAAGTTTAAAATCTGCTACCAAGAGCCAGCAGATGGCATAATGGTTATGTCACTGGGTTCCCACATCGCTGACCACAGTTCAAGTCCCGGACCTGGCGGCTTGAAAACCATGCCAGGTACATGTGCGTGTGTGCTCAAAATCCTGAGAGGAGAATGGAGGAGAAGGGATTGCAGTGTGGCCATCTCCTCTGGACAGTGATTTCTCACTTTCTGTCTCTCTCTGTGTCTCCAGTGAGTACACATACCCTATAGCAAAAATCTCTCTTAGGAAAAAAACTTCTTCTGATTGGCTGTCTTCCTGGAGAACCACTCTGGCAGCACATACGAAATGTACAACGTGTGCACCTGGTGACTCCTGGGATCTCCCCTAAAGAATCCACTCAGACGCGCACAGGACGCAGACACAAGCTCACGGTCACGCTGTGAGCAGTCATGGCCTCGATGTCAGCTGTCACAACACCCCTGTCCTGGCAAGCTGTGCACCAGGAGAAAGGGTGAGGAAGGCACAGACATGGTAAAGGGGAGTGTCCTCATGTCAAACAAATGACGCCTAGGATGAACCACGGCCCTGCGGGCATGTGTGTGGTGAGAGGCTTAGAAGGAAGGGTGAAGGGGAACTTTCACCCCTCTGAACTGCTTTACTTTAAAAAAAAAAATTATTTTATTTTATTTTTTATTTGCTCTAGGGCACATGCATTCACCAGAGAGAGACAGAGAGAAAGAAAGTGAGAAAGCAAGCCGCCGGGTCTGAGACGCAAACCGTGGTCAGACGTGGGTGAGTCCATACCACCTGCTGGCTCCTAAAATGTTTTACTCTCAGAACAAAAATCGTTTTAAAATCTTTTCTTCTGTAGAATGCCGTATAGATTTACAGTGCCCTATGGCTCTCATCTGAGTACTCTGGTTCTTGAACTACCAGAACTCGATGACGAGAGGTTTGTCTAACTTTCCTCGGTGCAGGGTGCTGCTGCTTCGGCCTCACCCACACCAACAGCCTGCATGGACTATTAGACAGGTGAGGTGTTTGAGGCCCCCAACTCTAATTTTCAAGGCTCTTTTTTTTTTTAATTGCCAGAGGGGACCAGTGCTCATCAGAGACAGAGGGACAGAAATGAAGGAAGAGGGAAAAAATTGTTCCCCATGAGGCATGGTCACACTACGATCCCTGCTCCTCCATTTCTCCATCCTGTCGGGATCCAGAGCACTCACACGTGTCCGGTGTGTTTTCCCAGCTGCCAGGGCCAGGATTTGAACCCCATGGTCAGTCATGTGTGATCTCACTCCCTTAACTACCAGGCCAGCCCAAGCTCTTTCAACTGTATATGACTGAGTCCTATCGGCTCCCACAAAACTACACTCCTGGGGACCAGCAGTTAGCGTAATGGCTATGTCGCTGGACTCCCATGTAGTCGACCGTGGTTTGCGTCCTGGACCCGGTGGCTTAAAACTCACACCGGGTGCGTGTGCATGCGTGCCCAAGATCCCAAGAGGAGAATGGAGGAGAAGGGATTGCGGTGTGGCCATCCCCCCTGGGGGGTGATTTCTTGCTTTCCCTCTCACTGTCTCTGTCTCTCTCCAGCTAGCACACGTGCCCTAGCAAAAACCTCTTTAAAAAAGGGGGGGGGGAGAAAAAGTCAGAGTAGACATAGGCCCTCAGCCCAGGCTACTCCCATTCCTGTGTAAACCTTTAAGGCAAACTATTTCTCTTCCCAGCCCACGCCTCAGTCTCCACATCTGTAAATAGAATGCAACGATAGTACCTGGGTTAACGTGAGGATTAAATATCAGCATGTGGGCCAGCAGGTGGTGTGGAGGTTAAGGTGCTAGATCCCACATAGCCGACTCAGTGGTTTGAGTCCCAGACCTGGTGGCCTGAAAATCACACGGGGCACGTGTGCGTGCATGTTCAAGATCCCGAGAGGAGAATGGAGGAGAAGGGGTTGCAGCATGGCCATCCCCCCGGGGTCGAGTTCTCTCTTTCTATCTTTCTCTGTCTCGCTCCACAAGTACACATGCTCTATAGCAAAAACCAATAAAAAGAAAGCGCAGGATGTGTGTAGAACATCATCTCAAGGCTCTTTCTAATCACAGGCCAAAGTGGAATCCCAGCCGAGTCCTGACCAAGGACAGATCTTATTTATTCAGCACTTGCCATGTGCCAGAAACAATTAAGTGAGATACTTCTGAGCTGGCGGAATTCTTAACACAACCCCCTGACGTGGCTCCTCTCCAGGACTCAGTTCAGAGAGGAGAATCCCAGGACTGAGGCGCCCTGTCCAGGCTCCGGGCAGGAACTGGACCACGCCCCAGGTGGCTGCCCATCACCCCTCTTTCTTCCTCTCGGCTTCCTCGTCCTTGTTTTCTTCCGTGTTTCCCAAGAGCATAAAAGCGTGGGCATCAACTTTGGCTGGTTTCATTGTTGTTCTCAAACCTCTGTCATCATCGGTTTAAGTTTACATAAACTTGGCATTCCTTTACATTTTTTCAAATATGTTCACTTCTTAAATGTCTCCTGAGGGAAAAAGATTTCTATAAATGACTTCATTCTCCCCTCCTTCACGTAGGACTCAATGAGGCTAAGTCACCCGATCTCCGTTAACACGTTAGGTTGTTTGTTGGTTTATTTTCATTTTGGAAACTCTTCTCCATAGTTAACTGCACTCCCTCCTCCTTAAAAGATCCCATGAGGAATTCTGATTAGCCGCTGGGGCTGTGGGGCAGATCCCTTGGAGGGTATCATGTTTCTAGAAGGCTCCTACAAGGAACCAAGCCTTGCAACCTGACTCCCAACCGACCTGGTACCTGTAAGCTGGTCTCAGGGCAGGGATAGAAAGACACAGGTATGCTTTCTGCTCCCAAACAAAATGATGCCGCTCATGAAGGAAGGAATAGTTTTAAACTGATAATTACAATTCGCTTGACCCTGTGTAGAAGGGCGAGGGCTCTGGAATCCAGTTACTTGGGCCTGCGCGCATAGGAGCCTGGGAAAGTTACTAA